AGATGGTTTGCCGTTTGGTGGTACTGAGTGTAGGGTAGATATGCAATATTCCATTTTTGCTCCCAAAATATTGCTTTTGCTCTCTGATTTTTTGGAAGCGGCAGTTGGGATTTTGGTCTTTTTGTACATTGTTATCCATAATTTGTGCCACTTGTGCACAAATTTTTTTTCTCAGTCCCTTATAGTTTCTTTGCATTTTGTTGCCCAAGGAAATATTTGTTAAGGTGCAAGCACTGCAGCATAGGGTCCCAGCCTCCAGATCCCAGCCTATCTCAGCTTCAGTTGAGAAGAAAATCTGGAAGTGATCCAGGGAGAAAAGGGATGCAGTGGAACTGGCGAAGACACAGTAGAACCCACATTTATTTCTCACTGCCTCCAATGTTGATAGGAACAGGTGATTTGCAGAAAAAGCTGCTGACCTTGACCACACAGCTGAACACGCAATCTGTTAGGCCTTAGAGAAGGTGATGGGAATGAGCTTGCCCAACCAGGCAGGCTGGCACATCAGAAACAGCATCTGTGAACCTCTCCTGGCATCCTGTGAGCACAGGTCACATTTTTGACCTTCATTGGATAATAACCATACTCTTCTTCTGCCTTCCAAACTTCACACAAATTTCTCTTGAGGTCAGTAACTCTAACCTAGAACTATTAAGTCAAGGGCATTTGGGAGAATGTGGTTCCATTAAAGCGAAAGACTCTAACACACCAAGAGTTTCATGTATCGCAATAGTTCCTATAAAGTCGTTCTATGTGAGCTTATTCCACATCAGAAGAAATCTCCAGGCCCTTTTACCATTTGTGCAGCATCTGCCTTCCAGAAGGAAAAGAGTCCTTTTGTCCTCCATTCTAACATCTTGCAGGAATGGCAGCGCTGGTGGTCAGGAGGCAGGGAGAAATATATGTGTGGAAATTATTATATCCAGTCACATGCTGTGGTCTGAACTTCACATTTCAAATAAACTGGCCATAAAACTTGAGAGTGAATTGCTAGATGGTTGAAATTTTCAAAATGTAGTTATATTTACATTGCGGAAACCAATAGTCTAATTCAAAAGCAGTTTAGGAAGAAACATGTCTCTATTGTATTAACATGAGAAACTGTACGTAAACCCAATTTACTCTACTGAAAAGCAATGATCAATAGTTGTTTCTAAAATGTAACTTTACGAAAACAAAATCAATTCCAAAACTAATATGATTTCCTCCTTTGTAAAGAACACCACTGACAAAACAAAGAAACAAATAAAAAACACCATAGACAAAACAATAAAATCTTCCCTGGGCCAAATGTTAGAGAAGAGAAAAATATTCCAGAGTTTTTAATGAGCTCATAAGAAACCCTAAACATGGGACCTGGAATTAAAAAAATAACATGTATAACATTTATTCATTCTGTAACTTGGGAAAAATGAAAGGTTGTTTACTTTTGTTTTTGTTTTGCATTGTTTACACTAAGATCTTTCTGAGTGTTTTTTGTTTTTATTTGCCTTCTGGTTATCTAAATCTTTGAGGTGCTGCTCATGGTAATAGGTGAGTAGTAAAATTATTAAGACAGACATACTATAGTAAGTTACATTTTAAAAAGTATAAAAAGCACAGAGCTCTTAAAGGACACAAAATAGGTGAAAAATAAGGAAGACTAAGTTAGCCTGAGAGAAAAATCTAGCAGTATCAATACTCTTCTTGCTATGTTAGAATTTAGAGGAAAACAAAATACTGTTTTTAGAAAGTTTGCTGTATGCTGTACTGTATTATTTCCTTCCTCCTTTCCTCAAGATACTTCATCAAAGATATAAAATTAATGATTAATTTTATTTTTATATTTATGTGCATATGTATATATTTAATTACTGTTGTTCCAGCTTCTGGTGTACAGCAAAGTGATTCAGATATACACATGGCATCAATTTATCACTTCATTTTCTATGCATTTCTTGAGTAGCTTTCTTTTAGAGATTGAGTAAGCATTGTTTCCTTTTCAAAAAGAAAAAAAAAAAGACAAGAAAAGAAACACACTCACACAAACCACAGGTGGACAGAATGATTTTTACAACTTAAATGGATTAAGTGCCTTAAAAACGATACATCAGTTAAGGAGTAACAATCTTTTTTAAATTATAATGTGCTATTAGAAATATAATTGGAGTATTAAAATACTTATAAATAGAAGTTTAGGCATGTATGATTCGAAGTGAATAAAATAAATTTGGATCGCACCATTTTAAAGTGACATGAGGCTAACCACAGTTGGCATGTTCTCTCCTGATTTGCTTTTAAGATATTTATATAAGTTTGCACAAAGGTACATGGAATATGTGTGTGTGTGTGTGTGTGTGTGTGCATATGTGCGAGCAGAGAAAAACTCATTTGATATGTGGATGTTCCAGATATAGATACATGTTGGCAGGCCCTGAATGGGTTCCCTCCAGAAAAGTTTTTAGTATCTATTAAACATTTATTTCTAATTTCCTCTGGTTGGAAAAGAGAAGGCTTTGAAATTAGATGTGATTTGATTTACAAATCTTTTCAGCCATGTAACTGAAAATTTGATCTTCAAAAAATGGTAAATCTCCCATTTTTTTGCTGGAAAATAATAGCAAATCACAGGAAATATTTCCTCTCATCTAAATTTTCAACAAATTTATTTTCTGTTTTGTATGTTACTGTAGATATATCATTCTTAATTATAATTTTAATATGTATCCTGAGTTGTTCATTAATAAAATAACATAAATACAGCTCTTAGTCAAATACAAGCACTCAAAAAAATTTCTCTCTGACATTTGCAGTACAATATTATAGAGAAAAGGAAAGCAAACATTTTTTAAAAAGTCAATATTTTTGCCTTCTTTATTCATACCTGTTTATGGATATTTAAATAGCTCATTATAATAGCATTGCCATTTTAGTGAAAAGATTATACTTAAAATATTATGAGAATTTTTCTGTTTTTTTAATTTATTTTTTTATTATTTGGGGGATAATTACTTAACAATATTGTAGTGGTTTTTGCCATACATTGATATGAATCAGCCATGGATTTACATGTATTCTCCATCCCGATCCCCTCTCTTGCCTCCCTCCCCATCCTATCCCTCTCCTGTAGTCTTCAGAGTAGTTTTAAAAACTATTTATTGGATTAATGCAAAATAAATTTTATCATATATCTTTGTGTTCCAAATTTCAGTTGTTTTAAATCATACTACCATTTGCTTATTTAGGGTATCTGTTAACTATTGTATTTCATAAAAGGAAATATTGACACAGTGAAATTACTGAGTCAAAGCATAAAGGCATGCTAAAGCCACAAAATGTTTTGATTAAAAATGTGCAACTTTTTGTGAGACTATACTTAGTTGAAAATTTACAAAGTATATATACAAATTTATAATTGCTTCCCAAAATTATTATTTATTTTAAAATATATTAAAATGTATTTAGTAAATTTAGTAAAATGATCAGTTTACACTTCTAAAAGTTTAGAGTACTTCATTTTACATTATTGAAATAATTATACAATATTATAAAAATGTGTTACCTTTGCAATGAAGTAGTTTAATTTGCTTTTATTTGATAGCTAGCTAGCTAGTCTTTTCTTCTATGCTCACCTAAAGTTATAGATCCCTTAGTTTGGATTTTCTTAAATAATAGCTATTCACACCTGTTGTTTAAAAGCTTAACGTTATTTTGTCAAACTTTGAAAGTGTTCCTTATGATTGCACTTTATTTATATATATGTATATATACTTAATATACATGTATTGCCTGTGATAATAAATTATGCTTCATTTCCTTACCATTTATATTCTTTAAACTACATTCTCATTGTGTCAATTTCCATCTTACCATAACAAAAAAGACAATTTATTATTATTTCCAATTTTATTCGAATACTTCAAAGTCATCTCAATCATGGAGTTTACTGTGATACAATTTAGGAAAGAAAAATGAAGATGTATAATCAATTGAGATAAAGGTACATATATGATTTTAGAATTGGCAAAATAAAGTGCAGAAGAATGAGGTAGGTAAATATGCTGGATCCTGACTGCTTGAATAAAATTTGATAACTTAAGCTTTGCAGTCACAAAACAAGTAGATGAAGACAAGTAGATAAAGAGTGTACATCATTAGAAGAGAAATGGATAACTTTTCTTTGTCCATTTAAACAAATTCATTCATAGAATTGATGCATATTTAGCATTATTGAGATTTGCAGATAGAATGCTAGGAAATATTACTGAACATAATATTATTATATAGAATATGCTGCATGCAATTTCTTACTTAACTGCTTAGTGAAACGTGTACAAAAAAATACATATATGACAATATAGAAACTGAGTAGTTCTACATACTCTTTATCATTGTAGTAATTTTCAGTTTTCATTGAACTCAAGGCTAACTCTGTGCTTGAAGGTAGGCAGAAGTCTCTAATATCAAGAGCCCTGGAATCAAAGGATTTTATTTTGTTTTGAGTGGTTTTACATTTGTTAGTTGGGACTTCCCTGCTGACTTAGATGGTAAAACGTCTGCCTACAATGTGGGAGACCCAGGTTCAATCCCTGGGTTGGGAAGATCTCCTGGAGAAGGCAATGACAACCCACTCCAGTACTCTTGTCTGGAAAATCCAATGGGCAGAGGAGCCTGGTAGGCTAAAGTCCAAAGGGTCTCAAAGAGTCAGGCACAACTGAGGGACTTCACTTTCACTTTTCTTTCATATTTGTTACTCTGTGCAATTATTTTATTTTCCAAAATATCGTTAATATTTGGTATTACTCCACAGATTTTAAGCTACTGCTTCTTAGATTTCTTTCCCCCTTCCTCCTCTTTCTCTCTCTCTCTTTTTTTTTTGGAGAAAGATCGCAAGGGGCCCGCGAGGCCCACGGTGGGGCAGCAGAGGAGGGCACGGTGCCCTGAGGCCTGGAGGCTCGGCCAGGGGCGTCCCCTCCGTGGGGCCGAGGACACCAGCCGCGACCCGGTGGAGCCACAGAGCGATGCCCAGCCGCCGGCGGGAGCCGGGAGCGACGAACCCTTGTGTGCCGGGCCGCCTTGCAGTAGGTCGCAGCGAGGGAGCTGCTCTGCTACCTAGGAAACCCGAGCCAGAAGCAGGTTGTCTGCGAATGGTTAGCACCAGGTTCCCCATGAAGGTGCGGTGCGTGATGGGCGAGGGACATAGTTACTAAGATCTGCATCCTTCATGGTTTTAGGGAATAAGACAAACGGACGGTAAAGCACAAAATAAAATGAGGCAAGTTAGGAGGTTCGATCCATTCCAATGACAGCTTTGGCATCCGTTTTTCTATAACAGGTATATTGGCCATGCACACGTGCTAACTTAAGTCGTCTCCACTCTTTGTGACCCCATGGACTGCATCCCGTCAGGCTCCTCTTCCAATGGGATTCTCCGGGCAAGAATACTATAGTGAGTTGCCATGTCCTCCTCCAGAGGATCTGCAGGATCTAGGGATTAAATCCGCCTCTCTTATATCTCCTGCTTTGACAGGCGAGTTTCTTTACCACATGCACTACCTGGGAAGCCATAGTAAAAATATATTTGTAGGTAGGGGCTGTCAGAAACAGCCTCCTTGTATGCCAATTCTGGTCAACACTACCAACGATTTGTTTATGCTTATGAGCATCATTGAAAATTATTAATACAATTCAGCATAGTACAATCAAAAGCAGACCAAAAGAGTAAAACTGTTAGCTGTTCAGTCATGTCCAGCTCTCAGCAATCCCATGAACTGTAGCCCGCCAGGCTCTTCTGTCCATAGGATTTTCCAGGTAAGAATACTGGAGTGGGGTGCCTTCCCTTTTCTAGGGGAATCTTCCCAACTCAGGTCTCCTGCATTGCAGGCAGATTCTTTATGGTTTGATCCTCCAGGGAAGCTCTCATAGAGCATGTGCTATTTTTTAAAACACTTAACATGAAATCTGTATATTATTGGGGGAGTTTTTCTCACTATAAAATTTAAATCAATTCAAACCAGGATGGAAATATTGGAAATGTCTATATATGTGTTTTTATATTTTAACAGATCATATTTGGCAGCTTTATTTCTGAGTTTTTCATTAAAGAAGTGTGATGGAAATGAATAGAATTTGGTATATGTGTGTGTGTTTCTACTTATGACTTTTAGATAACAATTTACAGTTTCTGAAATGAAGATGAAAATGTACTTCATCATACTCATGGCTGAAATTATTATAATAAATACAAGTTTTCAGTTACTTAATCATATATCCTTTACACTTATTGTTACACAGATATATAATAAACTATTAAATAGTATGATTAGGCAAGAGAAAAGATATTCCATTAGAGACCACATAACAATTCAAAAACTAAAAAAATAATTACAAATGAAAATTAAAAGTCAACATCTGGAAAAATTACTCATGTTACTTAAACTTTCCAATGGATTGAGAGAAACATGCTTCTCTCAAACATGTGGAATGATCCTTTATTCCTTATCTGGACTTTGAAAATATAAACTCAATAAGAAGTACATTAAGGTTTTCATAAACATGTGCAAACAAAATTTCAAGTTCAACAAAGAATGCAGAAGGTGTTTACTGATATCTACATGATCAAATCTTGTAAAGGTAAATAATGAATAGTGGAGGAGGCTTCTGTTATCATAGGTAATTGGTTCACTGATTTACCTGCCAAGAACATGATAATTGAAAAAAATTCTTAATTTTAAGTGCTCTAAAGTATAAATACTCCTTTGTACTTAGAGCCAGATTTTTATTTAAAACCTATTCCTCTTTTATTCTTTGCTCTATTAATTGGTTTGATATAATTTTTAAGTCAGGAATTTAATACTCCTTGGGAAGAATTACCACAATGTTGTAAATAATGCATATTTGCAATTTTACTTTAGCCAGTAAATTCAACCAAATAGAGCATAAATAAACTAAGGATAAAGCATACTCATATTTTGTGTACTTGGATCTGGATTATTCTGAGGCATCAGTGTGTGTTTGTTGAAAATGGACATTGCTTATGTTGTCAGATAAATGAATGTTAGGTAAAGAATCTGCCTGCAGTGCAGGAGACCAGGGTTCAATCCCTAGGTTTGGAAGATCCCCTGGAGAAGGTCTTGTCAACCCACTGCAGTATTCTTGACTGAAGAATTCCATGGACAGAGAAGCCTGTGGACTGTGGCCACCATGGGGTCGCCAAGAGTCAGACACGACTGAGCAACCTCATACTTATGTTGTCCAGAAGCAAAGATGACTCTAGTCACACAATTTCTGATATAGACTTTTGTCCTGCCTTCAGTATGATGTAGTCATTTCTTTGGGATTTCTTTTCTAGAATAATAAAGCTTGGATAAAATCAGAGGCATTGTCTTTCTGAAGCAGAAATAATCTCTCTGAATATTATTTATTCCAACTAGATACACAAAGGTGTTTATGTATAAGACATGATGGGACAGATGTTTTCATGTTTTAATTTTGGTGGAGAGTTATGAAATCTTTGGGCTTCCCTGGTGGCTCAGCTGATAAAGAATGCCTGCAATGCCTGCAATGCTAGAGACCTGGGTTTGATCCCTGGATTGGGAAGATCCCCTGGAGAAGGGGATGGCAATGCACTCCATTGTTCTTGCCTGGAGAATTCCATAGATGGAGGAGGTTGGCAGGCTACAGTCCAGGGGTCACACAGAGCTGAACGTGACTGAGAGGCTTTCATTTCACTAGAAAATTGAATTTCTCTACTCCTCTAATATGAAATCCATTTTTTTTTTTAAATCTCAGAATAGCTACATAGAGAATTAATACATTCATGCCAAACCTCCAATGCTTTCACTCCTCTTCTTGTGATTATTCCTGTTTAAGTCAGTCCTTTTCCTTTGTATTGCTTTAAAAATGTTTCCAATTACTATAATTTGTCAGGTTTTCAAAAAGTTTTGTTCATTTTTTTTTCTTAAGATGGCTCTAGTAGCACTTAGTTGTATTTAACTTCATTCTAAATAATTTTGTTATATAGTATTGTGATAACTGTCATATCAGTATGCATTAAAAAGTATCAAAATTGATGAATTTTTAATGTAACCATCTTAATATTGAAGGTGGAAGGAAAAAGCAACATTTTTGGCATATTATGCTTTATTATTTCAAGAAAGGTAAAAACACAACCGAAATGCAAAAAAAAAAAAAAAAAAAAGAAAGAAAGAAAGACAGCAATCTGTGCAGTGTAGAGAAGGTGCTGTGACTGATTAACTGTGTCAAAAGTAGTTTGTAGAATTTCATGCTGAAAATTTCTCTCTGGACAATGCTCCTTGGTCAGGTATACCAGTTGAAGTTAATAGTGATCAAAATGAGAAATGACTTGAGAACAATCAACACTGTACCATGATAGCTAACATGCCTAAAATATCCAAATCGAACACTGAAAATCATTTGCACCAGTTTGGCTATGTTAATCACTATTATGTTTGGGTTAAACTTAAGTGGAAAAAAAAACCTCTTGATGACATTTCCACATGTAATTGTCTACTTAAATGTAATTAAACATTTCATTTTTAAAATAAACTTTGACAGGCAATGAAAAGTGGATACAGTACAACAATGCAGATTGAAGAGATTGTGGGGCAAGTGAAATGAACCAACACCAAACATAACAAAGCCTGGTCTTCATCCAAAGAAGGTGATGATGTGTATATGGTGGGATTGGAAAAGAATCCTCTTTTATGAATCTTTTCTAGGAAGCCAAACATTAATTCCAAGAAGGACTGCTCCCAATTAGACCAACTGAAAGCTGGGAAGTTTTAGGAATTAATCTAAAGAAAATGCATAATATTCCTTCAGGATAATCCAAGAACACAGGCAAAAATTGTTACAGCATGACTGTAAACTTCTGATTCATTCACCTTATTCACTAGATATTGCACCTTCAGATATCCATTTATTTTGGTCTTTACAAAATTCTCTTCATGGAAAAAATTTCCTTTCCCTGGAAGACTATAAAAGGCACCTAGAAGAGTTGTCTGCTTAAAAATATAAAAAGTTTTGGGAAGATAAAATTATGAAATTGCCTGAAAAATGGCAGAAAGTAGTGGAACAAAAATGATGAATAATGTCATTCAGTGAAGTTTCTTGGTGAAAATGCAAAATGTGTCTTTTAGTTTTACTTAAAAAACTGAAGAAACTCTTTAGTCAGCCAGATAGTAGTATCATTTACTACCTCTAGCTCCCCTAGGTTGTATCTATCTGAAGGAAATACCTGTATCTCTTGGTTTGCCTGGTATCTTGTGTACCTGCTGATGAGTTCAGTATGTATTGACTGGATAGATAAAAGTAGATTTGAGGACATACCTATTCTGCTAAGTTATAGAAACCAAAGATAAAAACTGTGACAGCTAAAGATTTATGTTGAAATTGTGATTATACCATTTTTATTAATACAGTCAGTGGATAACTGAATTTGGTAAGCCTCTTCCAACATATGGATTATTTTCAAACTTAGGCACAAATACACACACACACACATATGACCTTGACAGTTCTATTATTTCAACTCTGGTAAGTAATGATGCTTGGAAGTTGGCTAGTTAAAATAATACTAAAAATAAAATAATGAATGGCAAATTGGAATACTATGCATAACACAATGTACAAAAACTCCCTTGAAACATCTAGAGAATACGTAATATCTTTGAGATCAGAAGGCTCAAAAATAACATATAAAAGTCAAAACAATTTAGTGCAAACTCAAAATGCAAGCTCCCAGACTTTCAAAGTTGTAGAAACTGCTTCATCTTTAAAGGAAAGCTAAAATCCTAAAGAAACCTAAAATCTTAAAGAAACCTATTTGATAGGAAATGAACATGACAATATATCTTATCCATTGTTTATATGAGCTTTCCTCTTTGGCAGGAAGTATGAAAAGGAAGCTGATCCCATCAAAGAATTTTAAATCTTGTTCAGGTGTTAAGAAATACCCAGTTTAATCTAAATCAAACTTTTATCTCACATCCACATCTCAAATTTTCATACTCAGCTTTGTCCTGACCCAGGCTCCTTAGTTGTGCTCATAATGACTATTATAAGACCTGTCCTTTTGTCTGTTCTTCCAATTCTAGCTCTCTGTCATTTAAGCTGCTTCTGGTTCCCCCAGAGACATGATGGAGAGAGAGAAAAGGAAAAGAACAAGATCTCATTTGACAGATGATGCTGTAGGCTGGAGGGATTCTTACTGTGTAACACACACCAGTGCTGCCTCTTCCTCTTACAGGGTGATTATGAGTGCCTCAGAGACTTTCCAGGTGGGGTGATTAATTACACTATTCCCTCAAGTGGACAAACTAGTGTGATTTCCCTTAAGTCCTTCAATGATACGAATCCGCAAAACCTTCTCTTCTGGAGATGACTTGCTGCATCAGGCAGCCCTTCTGCTCTGTCCTTTTCAGATGATTTGGTGTGGCTTCCCTCTGTGGTGTCCATTGAGGTCACTCTAAAACAAAAGAAATTCTAGAAGAAAGGTTGAGCCTTTCTCTGACTTCTCTTTTAACCCATTATCCCTGTGAGCTCCAGCCAGCTTCCTATCTTTAACGTTTCCTACTGAGAATCACTCACAAATATCTTCCCAGCTCCATAAGGCAGATGGCATTCTGAAACCTCTCTCAGTGACTTGGGCAAATAGCAGCTTATGATGATGTATGGAACTCCCAGCTCTGGCAGCATCCAGGCAGAGCCAAGAAACCAGTCCTCTTGACAGAGAAATCCAATCTTTTTTAATTATTCTCTTGAAGTCTTCCCTCACTTGTCTTGAGATTGAAGAGAAACAGAAATACTTACATTTTGGGGAAAGGAAGTTATTTGTTAGGGAATTGACAGTGTTGGAGAATGTTTGCACCTGCACTTCTTAACTTCCTATGCTATTTTTTTTTCTTCTAACCAAAAACTGGGTAATGGGCTAAGAATTAGATAATTATTCTCTGGATGCTATGGATCACTAATAATTTTCATAAAAATGAACGGGCCTTTATCAACTCACTGTCTTTAGCTTTGTGAAGTGGAAGTTGCTCAGTCATGTCCGAGTCTTTGCAACACCATGGACTCTACAGTCCATAGGATTCTCCAGGCCAGAACACTGGAGTGGGAGCCTTTCCCTTCTCCAGGGGATCTTCCCTACCCGGGGATTGAACCAGTTCTCCCTCACTGCAGGCGGATTCATCATCAGCTGAGTCACAAGGAAAGCCCAAGAATACAGGAGTGGGCAGTTGATCCCTTCTCCAGGGGATCGTCCCGACCCAGGAATTGAACTGGGGTCTCCTGCATTGAAGGTGGATTCTTTACCAACTGAGCTATCAGGGAACCTTCAGCTTTGGGACCTCAGAAATCCATCTGCAATAACAGAACTCCTATATGTCATCTTGTTTCAATTTAATAATATAGAAGCAGTCACAATTCAAACCCACTCCTCTGCATTTTATAGCAAGTTTTACATGCTATAAAATTATTTTAAAATGTTTTCATTTTAAATTATTTTGAATTCTTCTGTAGCTTATTATCATGATATTATAAAATATTATGTTTATGTTTCTCTTAATCAAATTAAATAACATCTATTGCCCCTCACTATGAAAAAAAGCTAAGACTTTTAAACACATCCCATGTCATCTCTATTCATCAGTTTTTAATTGGTTATTTTGCAAACTGATTTACACCTTTATTTCTTGCTCCAGTAATTTAGCCAGTATTTCTTGATTCTCTGATGTATAAGATACAGACGATGATTTTTTTCTATTTACTTTACCTTCCTCCTACTAATTTCCGTATTGACAACTATGGTTTTATTTTATATCATAAAATCTCTTTTATATCACATTTTTCTTTTGAAATTATAAATAAGCTATGTTTATATTTTCTACAGGGGCAAAAACAAGAAACATTCAATTTTTATGGGTGCAACAGTACTGGCTATGGAAAATCCAATAAATATGCTGAGAGTAATTTTCTTCCCTACAGACCCAAAGCCAGATTCTCTGTAACATCTGGATAAGAAATTTTCTAGTGTCAAAGTCAAATGGATTCTAATGTTTCACACTCTGTGATGGAGGCATTTATAGTTCACTGAAGGGCCCTTCACTTTTCAGATCGTTTACAGTCAGAGATATGGAACCGTATCCTACCTGTGAACAGAAGTGGTGTCTTCCATAGGCCAACACTGCTGTTTGATCTTCTAGCACATTTTTCTCCTGTTGAAGTGATCTGCACCCCATGTGTTCCAGATGATATGATAATCAGATGTCAGCAACCTGAATTCCTGAGTCACCAAATGAAAGGCTGCCATCCTCTGGACCTGGAGCCCAGGGCAGGCTCTGACAGTGAAAGTGAAAGTTGCTCATTTACGTCTGACTCTTTGCAACCCCATGGACTGTAACTTGCCAGGCTCCTCTCCATGGAATTTTCCAGGTCAGAACACTGGAGTGGATAGCTGTTCCCTTCTCCAGGTGTTCTTCCTGACCCAGGAATCGAACCAGGGTCTCCTGCATTGCAGGTGAATTCTTTACCAGCTGAGCTACGAGGGAAGTCCAGGACAGACTCTGATGATATGCAAACCTCTGAGACATCAGGTGTGTGTCAGGACTGCAGCTGAGGTTAGCCAACCCTGAAAAGTTAGATACTACAGCATTTGTTCAAAAGCACAAAACATTTTAATTTGCTTTCTACTCAGATTATGGTGTTCTTTTACAATTCTTGATTTTTGAGATGAATAAGCTATAATATAAGATTTCAATATACCCACAAAATTCACCAGTGTTTCTATCCATTTTTTTGCTTGTTTTTAGTATTTATAATTGCTTTCTTTCTAATGGTATTCTTCCAAGAGACTTCCAATCTTCTGTTACAACCTGTATGGTTATTCTTAGCCTACTACAGGTCTGTCATACTTTTCTGATCAATTAGAACAAAGATATCATAGCAGCTTAGGTGGTGCTAGTGGTAAAGAACCCTCCTGCAATACAGGAGATGTAAGAGATGTGGGTTCAGTCCCTGGGTTGGGATGATCCTCAGGAGGAGGGCATGGCAACTCACTCCAGTATTCTTTCCTCGAGAATCCCATGGACAGAGGAGCCTGGAGAGCTACAGTCCATAGGATTGCAAAGTCAGACATGACTAAAGTGAGTTAGCCCAGCCCAGCCCATACATAATAGCAGCTATAATTTCTTCTCTCATATTTTTCTTTTAACGGGTGTTATTTCTATATGAAAAATATCTGCACTTCTATTGGTAATGAACAAGAATATTTGTATTGATAGCTTAGAACAATACATAATTCTAGGATAAACATTTTTCCAAACTTGAAGTCATTTTCTGATGTCCTCTAACATACATTTATTCTAATAAAATAAATGCATACTATTATGATTTGTTTCTATATGACCTGCTTTTTTTATTTATAGAAGATAAGGGAGCTTTTATATCTTCTTGAAGTATCATTGAAGTATCCAAATAAAGCTGCTAGTTTTGTGATTTTTTGGTGTGTTTTTCTTTTTCTTTTTTTTTTCCACACTCTATAGGACTTCAAGAATACTTTTATGGTGAAGATCCTTGTCTTCTTTATATAAACTATTTTTTCTGTAAAATGGCTCTACCATGTGATTAACTTATTTCTTGCAATAATATTTTAACTTTCTAAGAATGTTTACATCCTTCTACTTAAACCATTATTTTTCCTTTTCTAATATTTATTCATTGATTTATTTTCAGCTACACTGGATCTAGATTACTATACTCAGGATCTTTATTATGGCACAAGGCCTCTCTACTTGAGGTTTACAGGGCGTAGCTGTCCCACAGCATGTGGGATCTTCATTCCCCGACCAGTATTTGAACCTGAGTCCCGCCTTGGAAAGTAGATTCTCAACTGCTGGACAACGAGGGATTATCTTTCTTACTAATATTTTCCTGACTTTTTGGAGGTAATATCTTTTTGAATCTAGTTGGATTCTAAAACATTGCCAATAAATAATGTTTGTTTTTATCTTAAAATACTTTGTAAATGGCAAATGAGAGACTATGTTGATTACTATAGCTAACTATTGGATTTTCATTGCTGCTATATATTTATATATTATTTTCCCCTAAATGGATCTCTGACTGAAAACAAGGCTGACAAGGATGTTGGTGAGATTGATGAAAACTTGGCCCTTCTTTTGGCTGTGCTAATAGGGAGATGGCATTTGGCATGTTAATGAAGATATGACATTCCTATAGGATGTCTTTGTGTTGAAGTGATCCCTTTTTTATAAAACCCGGTTGTATTTTGGCAGCTCTTTTAAATTGCCCTCAGGTTTTTAACAGGATTACATGCAAATATTCAGCTGCCCTTCGCTCTATACTCAGATGTTGAGGAGTATGGGCAGAGAAAGGGACAGACCATTCTGAGGCATAGCTTTCATTTCAATCATGTGGCTGTTTTATAGATGACAGATATCTCCATTTTATATCCCTATTTACAGCTGCATTTTAATTTTTCCAATTTATGTACCTGAAAACAGAGTAAAGCCTGAGGTCTCAGAGAGCTTGACCCCACCTCCGCTGAGGAAATAGTGATATTGTCCCCGCTTTCATTGCAACACCTTCTGTTACAGACCTTCTCACTTTCTCTTCTGCCAATCAAGAAGCTCTCATAGGTCTCTGTATTTCATGAATTTATGAATTTCGCTCACCTGATGTAATGTCTCATTCATGTCTGTACTAGGATAAAAGTATTCTTTCTTAATTCTATGCTGTCCAGTCAGTGAATTCTTGGGATGGAGAAGAAAAATGCATGCGAGCTCTGCTAGCTCTTAAGGTGCCCATTTTCCATGCCCTACATATACTAGAGATGGCAGAAAGGATCAGCTTCCAGTTGCTCAAAGCCCCTTTTAGACCCAGACACTTACACTTCTGAGTAACATTCCAGAGAAATTCCTTATCTAAAGGCATACTAATTTATTTTCTGATCACAACTTCTCATTGTTTAATTTTCTTATTATATGAAATATATGGTTTAGCTTTTATAGAATTTATTGCTTTCATTTGTGATTCCTTGTGAATTCCTGCATATCTCTTCATTCATCCTCATCTAATTTCAATTTTAGGGTTATTTCAGTTGAACCATTTTCTTGTCACTTTTGAAATCTGTCCTGCCCTTCTGTCTCTGACCTCATTTCGTTTCCTCATGTTGACCTGGGAAAACAGCACTACTCAATCAAATCAATGTTTGCTCTCACAGGGTCTACTGAATGATACTCAACACACTCACATGCTCACATTGAAATAAAGGTATTTTCATGAATCTTTAGCCTCAGTGGTAGCCCCACTCAATAGTAAAAGCCATGGTTTCATTATTTCTACTTAATTGTCTCTTCTACACAGTAATAATATCTACATCTTATCTTCTAGTGTCTTCAAATATTCCAAGGTAAAATGTTGATCTTCACTCTCAGCAGGTGATTTCCTCACTTAAGTGGTGAAAAACAGAATTTCCTCATTTTCTTACAACTAAACATCATAAACTGTCTCCATGTTATCTTTTATTCTTTTATTATTAGAATAAAAGTGTGTACATGGATAGGTTAAATTACACTAAGAAATATTTTTTGAATCTTGGTTGCTTAAAACAAAAAAGAGGCTAAGATTCCATTTCCTTTGTACCCTTTTTCTGAGCCAAGACTATTTATTGCTACTCCAGACTCTGAGTCCTTTCACTCAGCTTAAAGCGGCTGCCTATTAGGAAGCAAGTAGCATTTAATATTTGGACTAACTAAAAATTCTTTGGGTTTTTTGTTTGTTTGTTTGAGATATTTACCATTGCATTTCTTGCTAGTTGGTTTTAAGAATTTTATTTTTCAAAATAAAATTTATGGCCTTAATTCTATTCCACCTTAGCCCATCTCCTCCTGTAATCAATGGGAAACAGTAAAAGACTCCCTGTAGAAGCAAATGGCAATCCACTCCATATTCTTGCCTGGGAAATCCCATGGACAGAGGAACCTCATGGGCTACAGTCTTTGGGGTCACAAAGAGTCAGACACAAGTGAACACAAACACAATTAAGATACACTAAGGTTGTCTTCCAACCATGTCCCTACAGCTACATAAGGCAGAGTTGTGCTCTCATGCTATTGTCAGCATTAATTTTACTGTGTATTTTGTGTGGCACAAAGGTGCTCTTTCAGGTTTCCCTACTGCTAGTTAGAAATTTTTTCTTCAATAACTACCACCAACTTCCAAGCCAAAGCCACAAACATTAATGCTTTATTATGAATGGAGCCCACCTCCAGATCATCTATTAGTTATCTGAATACATGCTGCAGGAATAAGCTAGCAAGCTGCAGTTTATCAATAACATAGAAATACCTTGCTGACTCATCCAGTAGTCATCAGACTACTAGAGTGATGGTCTGTTTGGAAGACTTTGCTCACAGTTTGTGGTTTGGGGGTCTGCAGACTTCCAGGGTACTCTCCTGTATCTCATCAATATTCTTTACTCCAGGCTTTCCTGAGAAAATATGAGGGTACAATTTTTTAATGTGTGGACTTTACAACTTGACCACACAGATTAGACTAGCATTCTGTTGACTTACAAATCAGTCATATGACCACAAGTAACTTGTAGGCAAACAGGAAGTAATATCTGGGTCTTGGTATTTGCTTCCTAGGAGTCTTTTTCCAACATGAACACACATTACACAAGACAGCTAACCCTTCCTCTAACACAAAATACCAATGCTATGATATGTAATAGACTTTGGTCACACTAATTTTGGTAGTTAAATATTTGGTAAAATAGTAATACTAATGGAGGGAGCCCCCAAATTAGCAGACATTTCAAATTTCTAGCACCGAAGCTGCATTTGATGAAAATCCTTGCCAAGCCTACAAAAGCAGCTAATAGAGCTTCAGAACCTGGGAGCAATGTGCCCACAAGCCATTGCTGGAGCTGGGTTGCTGGACTGCCTGGGAGTCCACTGAATGCCTGCAGGAATCCAGAAAGTAGAACAGAATCCT